AAATGGCATTTCAACTGACTAGGGATCATAGATAATTTTTCACCATAGATAACTTGTCATTGCACACAATGCATTAAGGTTGGGGATAATGCTCATCTCTGGTCCAAGCAAACCCTATGACTAAACAGCTTATCTACTTTCAGTCTCTTTTTAAAAGCACTACTTGAACTTATACTTTGTCTGGGGTATGACTGTAAACTGCATCCAACTGGAGGTCCTGGTGGCAACATGGTGGGGCTACTCGTGGTGGGATAACACCTATAAAATACCACAATGTGTTACAACCTCCAGAGTAAGGCAAGTATAGGGAGTGTCAAAACCCTAGCCCGCACTGTTTTGTGGGTACTCCTTGGCTGGAGAAAGGCTAATGGACATCATCCTGACAGAAACACACCCTCACTAAGGCATTAGGCAGTCATAGGAAGTTATATGTTGCTCTCTGGCAGAACCTACAATCAAGGCACTAAATGTCTGGCCTTTGGATTCTGTTTCAGTGGTCTATAGAGGGGATGGTAGGTTTTGGGCAGCCTCCACTCCTCCATACACTTGCCTCCATACACATTGAAGGACTTGGTATGATGGTTGCAGGACTCCATATAAGCAGATTCTCATCAGGCACCTGACCAGACCTCTTATGCGTACACTATGATCCAGAGGATAGACAGTTGCCTACTTGAACTTCCTTCAGATTTATCTGTTTCTGAATGCACAGATTCATTCTTTATATTTTCACTAGATGGGTCATCATCTTTGTTTCTTTATAACAAACTTGTCCATTAAGTCAGCTACAGCCAGAGGGGGAGACAGCCCTTGCCCTGGCACACTGCCAGTAGAGATGAGTACTTGGCACCTGCTTAAACCAACCTAACCTGCCAACTATCTCCCAGATTTGACTCCAGAAGTCCCACAGGGTTCTTAAGAGATGGGGAGAAGTGGGCAAGTCAGCAAACTGGGGCTTTGTTCAGGACTGAGTCAGTATCATCTGTTCTACAAAGGGGGCAGGGACTCAGGCATGCTTAGGAAAACAGCATGGGACAAGCCTGGTGACAACCCTACTGCAGGCAAAAGTGCCCTCATGCTGCAGCCCTTGCTAGTCCAGGTCCCCATGCACTTCCTGGAAAATTCCACTTGGCAGAAGAGGTGGCATGGCAACCTGGAGATAGATGCTGCTGCTACCAGTGGCATCACCAGGTGGAACTGTCCTGCGTGCCTGCTTCTAGGAGGTATGTAAGGGGCTGGACCACAAAGCACTCCTGCTTGCGTTACCGTTATTAGATAAACACAATGGAAGCAGGAGCACCAGTTTCTGTCAAAGCTGCTTCTTGCTCCTTAATTCAGCTCTGATGTGCCTCCTGGAACCCAAGGCACACAGTAAGTTTCATCCTGCTGCCATACCACAGCAGTAGCCTCCATCTCCAAGCTGCCTTGGTATCGCTGCAGCCAGGTGAAACTTGCCCATGCAACTTTTCTTGGTTTGACTTCAGCATACTTCCTGAAAAGTGAGACGTACAGGAAAGTTTCACCAAGACTCACGGAGTTCTTACAATTCCCCAGCTGAGAACCACTGATCCTGCTATTAGAGTTGGGCAAATAATTGCTTTTTCGGTATGGTGACCAGGATCCCAAAACATCATATTTGGTTCATATGAAACATTTTGTTTGGGGTAAGACTGGCAGTTTAATAACATATTACCTGAATGTGGATTTTAACCAAAAATTGAAAATATTTAAATAACTGTGTCAAGATGAAACATTTGGACTTTTCCAAAATGCTTTCCACTTCTTTTGACACAAACTATTCACTGAATTTGATTATGCCATCCTTTTATATTGTAATTATGGGTAAAGGGAGGTCTGGAAAATGGCTGGCGCAGAGAAGGACCTGGGCAGAGACTGAAGGAATACAATAGATGGAAATGAGTCCTGTAAGGATAGGTAGCAAACCCTAAAGAACACTGTAGGAGACCACAAGGATCTGGGCTCTGAGGGGTGCTACACCTTGTCAACAAGGCTCCTCCACCCTGCCCTCCCCACCCCACTACCACTGACTTGCTCATGGACAACTGGTGTCACCTGACTCAGGGGGGCATGTGCCCCCCATGGCCAATCTTGCCAACCGAGGGGGAGGGCTAACCGAGTCCCCGTGGCTAATCTCGCCAAGTGGGGGGGGTCCCCCACAGCCTATCGCAGCAACCAAAAGTGCCAGCAACACTTCACCTGGGGCACCTACTCCCCAGCCAGCACTTGCATGAGGGGCTACCCATAAAGGGGTGCACTAACGCTCTTAGGGGGTGCATGTGCACCCCCATGTACCCCTACATGTCACCACCAAACCTGCTCACCGATAACGTCAGGCTATGGCAGGAAAATCATGCGGGCAAACTGGGGGTGAAAGATTTGATTTGTATGAGGACCATGTAGACTGCACTGTGCCTAGAACAGGAGGCAGTAACAGGGAGTTCTAGTCTAATTCTCTGCTCCCCTAATGTTGGGGCTAACATTAGCTACCATGGACCAATTCACAATTTGCAGCAGTCTAAAATTTAATATGTTTTGGTCATCTCCCAAATCCCAGAGCCAGCCAGGGCTCAAGGAAGTCAGATTCCCTCCCTGACAAACAGGGGCTTCAGGGCTAAAAACAAGTCTCTTAAAATTTGTGGGAAAAGGGAGAACCTTCTCAATTGTACCACAAGCTTGGCAAAACCAAACCTGCCACCTGTCAATGGGGCTGTTGGGGCTGACCTGATCATATGGAATCTTGCTATGTCATAATGATGGCAGTTGCCATGAAGATGGAAGAGCAGGATGTTGCCTGGGAGATAGAGGAAAACAATCAAGATGGCAGTGGAGGAGAGGAAGTGGATAGAGCAGGGGGAAGAGGAGATGGAGTGGACAGAGAAGGGGGAGGAGAGATGGAGTGGATCCCACAGGGGTATATTTTCCCATACACCTACCCATCTCCACTGGTCCAATACCAACCTCTCTGGTCTCACCTATGCTCAGATGCCAGCCCTCAACCTGTCTGTCCTGATACTGCCCCCCATCTCTCTCCTTCCCTCCCCCTCAACGCTTGCTCAAGGGGCTATCTACAGTACATGGATTAAACTCTCCCCTGATCCACTCTAGACTGCCCCACTGTGGCTCCCAGAGACCCACCCGCCTGAAGTGACTCTTGTTAGGGTCCCTGCTGACCCTTTCTCTCTAGCTTTTCCACTGACCTCTGCTGTGTTTGATGCTGTATTTATCATTCCTTCAGTGCAGTTTGCCTTCTAGAGGCTTTTAAGATACTGCATTCTTCATGGAGATGGGGGCTTCAGAGAACCAGGGTGTTTCATGATGGATCAAAGGGCTGACTGGCTGCACCTGCCTATGAGGTGGGGAATTGGGGAATATCATGCAATCATATTAAAATAAGACTGGAGGACACCTCAGGAAGTTGTCTAATCCCACCCTCTGCTCCAGGCAGAACACTTTCTGTATGGGCCATCCCAGACCAATGCTGGAGCTTCAAAGCTTCCAGGGACGGTGAGCCTACCACTTTCCTGGATACCTGGTCCCAGCATGTAACTGCCCATATAATTAGAAAGTCAGCCAATCCTGCTGGGATTTCTCCAGAGGGCTGTGATTCTCTCCATAGCCAATCTGGAGATCCACAGCCTCAGGGGAAACCTCTGGGATAAGGTTTGCAGCTCTATGGAGAACGACAGGCACGTGTCTCATACCAACTTAACTGGCCAGCTGTGAGGTAAAGAGAAGCAGCAGAAACAGGAAATTCCTTGGGGGCTCAATCGGCTTCTTTCCTTATTTCTCTTCCAGGAAATGAACACTGAAGCCCTCGCAGGTTAGTTCTTCCTTCAGGAGTAGTGGAGTCCTTTTATATGGGGCAAAGAGACTAAAAGAAGGCATACAACCTCGTCAATGGCAGAGCTACAAGGAAACCCTGAGAGACCTGCTCTCCTTAGGGATCAGTCACTAGTGCCCACCTCCCCCCGTGGCTCAGCACTGGACGCAGACCCCCAGCGCTCGGCTTGCCGCCCCCGCGGCAGCGTCTCCCCAGCAAGAGCCCAGGCCATCTGAGCTGCAGGGTTCCCAGGGTGCAACCAGAGGTGCTGGTTTTACCTACACAGCCCAGCCCAGCCTGTCTCACCCTGGGGACCGCAGACACCCTCCCGCAGGTCAGGCCAAAACGAGCCCCACCAGCACCCGGCTGCCGGGCGAGAACCCGTGGGCACTTGCCCTGGTCTGTAGCCGCTCCTCGGCTCCTGGAGGCCTGGGACAGCCACAAGCCTCTCCTCTCCGGGCCGCCTTCAGGTAAGAGCAGGAGGCCCGAACACGGCTCGGGCGCCCCCGGCTTTGCTGGACGCCCGAAGGCGCAGTTAACGGCCACCCCGCCCTGCTCCGCCCGGCCGGGGTTGTGCGCCCCACGCGCATGCGCGAGCGGAACGCGTTACAAGCACCCCCTCCCGTCGCAATGGGGCCGCCCCCGTCCCAAGGGCTACGGAGCAGTTCACCCCATCTCACCAGAGGCGGCGGGGCGGATCGGGGCGAAAGCGAAGTGAAGGAGCCAGTGCCAGGAGCTGCCTCCGCGAGGCGATAGCTGGGGCGGGCGAGGGAGCCCGAGCCCCACCCCTCCTGGTGCCGCCTGATGACGCAAACAGCCGGCGCCGCGCCTCCTTCCGCCCAGCTGCGGGCAGCGAGCCGGACCGGAGCGGTAAGCGGCCCTCAGCCTCCCGCCTCCCTTACGGCCTCAGCGCCGCCCCCTGCGGCAGCCCAGTGGCGCTGAGCAGGCCGAGGCCTGCGAGGGGTGGGGCTGTCCTTGTCAGGGGCGGGGGCTGTAGAGGGAGGGGCCGCGCGAGTCCTCTCCGGTCCCCCCGGGGCCCCCGTGGCTTGGAGATGGGGCCGCTGCTCCCAACAGCTGGGCTGTCCGCGCCCTCCGCCTCTGCCCGGGGCATCCTTTAGCTCCTCATCAAGGTCGCTTGCGCGCGGGGAAGGCGCCCCCTCCCCGGAGCGTCCTGCCGGGATGTTGTGCGTCGGCTACCGGGGCCGACGCTACCGACCCCTTTCTGGTGCGGCCGCCTGCACATCCGGTGCCCAAGAGGTTCCGGCTGCACCAGGTTTTGCAACACTTCGTTCCTTGCGAAGTCGCATTAGGTTCTCAGCAATATCCTGGTAGAATTGGCTATCTGAATGTGTGTGCGCTTTCCCCTGGATTATTTGAGTTGAAATTTGGTATAAAAGTTGCTTTCTTAAATGTATGCATGTGTTTGAAAGCTTTCAATGATTTAGTATACAGTAGCCAAAAAAAAGTGTTGGTTTCAGAAGTTCTTCAGCATAATGTTTTGTTGTTCAAAAGTCTCTGTGTATTAGTGGATGATCAGGTACTGCAGTAGAGGGGACCCTTTAGAAATAGCCTGAAATTGAAGTTCCTCTGAGACTCTGCAGAAGTTTGGGTTGAATGAAATGATGGGGTAGGAAGAAGTTGTTCCAGGGTACAGGTTGGTGAATGACTTTCTCCTGTTCCCCCGCGCACAATGCGCACACAATTATGTTATCATAGGATGAAAGTTATTGTTTGTAGATGGGGTCTATAGTTATCTTCATTTATGTTTTGTTTGGTTTTTCCGCTCTTCTTTGTTTTGTCTCCAGTCCAACTTTCCAATATGGTCTGTTCCCAGTATTCTGCACAGGCCACTGCCTCTGCTGTTGGTGTTGCCGGATCTGGTGGGGTGCGTTGCAGTGCTACAGGGTATCTTGGGAAATGATCCATGGTTTGCTTCTCCTGACACACATGTTGGTCAGTTGCATAGAGCAGTGGTCTCCAAACTTTTTTGATCACGCGCCCTATCAGTGAAAAATTTTTGAGCACGCACCCCCATCAATAAAAAGTTTTTGAGCATGCACCCCCCATATATGTATATTTATATAAATAGAAATAGAAGTTCTAATATTTTCTTCCTGCACCCCAGTGGATCATCTTGTGCACCCCACTTTGGAGATTGGAGACCACTGGCATAGAGGCCCCATGATTTCATGAGAGTATAGAGGAGCACTGATGCATTGGTCCCATATCATATCTGTACCAATAATGTCAATTTTCCTTTTATTAGTAATCGGCTTTTTTTGGCTGATGTGGCCAATAATGTCACCGATAAATGCTGCGTGCGTGCATGCAGCTGCAGCAGAGCACAGGCGGCATGGAAAGCAGCATCCAGCTGGTAAGTCTGTTGTGGGGGAAGGAAGGGGTGTGGAGGGGGAGCAGATTGAGGCCCCTGCAGTGAGGGAAGGAGTGGGGCTGGGGCAGGGACAGGTGCTGCACATCCAGGGTGGAGCGCCGAATGGTGCCATGAGTTGCTCGTCTAGGAGATGTGGGAGGAGGGGTGGCACCTGCTGCTGTGCATGCCCCAAGAGGGCATGGGAAGTGGGGTAAGGGTGGGATGCTGCTGTGGGCTGGGGCCAGGACCAGTGCTGGGCTCTTCCTGGTAGAGGGGCTGGGCCGGGGCTGTGCTCAGGGTAGTCAGAAGTATTGCTAAGAGGGAGACTACAGGTGGGCTGCAGCCACCCCAAAATTCGCCTCCCCACTTTGTAGCAGTGCTGTTGCTGCCTGCCTCAAGCGTAACCCAGCCCAGACCCCCCCAGCTGGGAACAGCCTGGCACCACCCACAGCAACAGCCTGCCCCCACCCCACACACAGATCCGGGCAGCACACCCCTGCCCCCATGCCCTCGTGGGTGTGCACAGCAGCGGGAGCCTCCCGAAGAGATGCAGCTCTGTCCCATGCCCCCCATCCTGGCTGGGCAGCGCCTGTCCCTGCCTTGCCCTGCTCTCTCTCTCTCTCACTGTGGGGCCTCAATCTGTCCCTTCCCCCACAACAGACTTACCACTCTTTATCCTGCCGGGCCTCGTATCAGCAATTGGATCAGTATTGGCCGATATGGCTCATTAAAAATTGGCCATTGGTATTGGTCCCAAAAAATCTCTATCATTGCACTCCTATAAGACTTTTCTGGTTAAACGCTCCTATTTGGTTGCAGTACATTTGCATATTTACTATTGTAAACCTATTGTCAAGGCACTTTTGGGCATTCCTTTTTTAAACTGAACTTAATTTTCTTTTGAGTTAAGAATTATAATCTATCAAATGAGTAGTTTTAAATGCACCTGTTCCAGGGATGTTGTAAGGATTGATCCCTGTTTGTAGAGTTAATTTTGAATTCTACAGAAGAAAAGGAAATAAATGCTTTCAGCATCTACAGTTCCAATTGTAAATGCAATCTCTCTTTTTTTTTAAATCATGCATAAAGATTTCGAGTTTCTGTGCTTTGGGTTAAATGGGAGGATTTCATCTAGTAACCCTTTTATTAAGGCTCCACTAATATTATGGGCTGTGCACAGAATGAAAGTGATAAATGGATCAAGAAATAGTGCTCAGTGGTATCTGTTTCATTCATTCTTGTTGCTACCAGTTGCTGATGTCATCCAGCTACAAATGCATTACTGTAATGTGTTCAGGCATCTGAATAAAATTACAGAACAAACAGAAGCTTCTTTGTTGGAAAAATACTCTATATTTTGGGACAGTTCTGGGGTGGATGGGTAATGCTAAGTTAAACAGTTAGTGAATAAGGATTTTGTATTTACCACATCATTTAACATCCTTCATAATTAGCACATCTCTTGTTTCTTGCCCCTTCTTTAATTATCCTTCAATACTCAGCCCCTAAGTTTCTATGTTTTGTTTTATGACCTGTTTTTAAATGATGCTGTAGTGATGCATCAGTAATGAAATTCAGTTGGCCATAAATCTGTTTTATTTTGTTCTCATATTTATTGGCATATTTATAGTGTCTTGTATTGCTACTTCTTTCTTGTATTCTTTCTAGTAGTAATAACAATTTTTTCAGGTAAACTCAAAATAATAACTCCCAATATATGAAGTATTGATTTCCCGTTTACCATCATGGCTATGCCATATATCTAGTTTTAAATTTCTGTTGTATATTTATAAAGCCTTGGCCTGATGTGATTAGAGGTCTTGTGTAACACCACCTCTTCTGAGGTAGTAGTTACATCCATCATAAAGAGAGGGCTTGTGAATGAGACTAATACACAGCAGAATGTGGACATAGTCTTCCTGGACTTCTGGAAGGCTTTTGACACTGTCTCTCACCCCGTTCTCATTAAGAAACTGGGGGGCTGTGGTGTAGACACCCATA